GGTTTTGGTTGTGTGACACACCTCGACCTCTGCCTCTACCATTCCGTCCTCTACCTCTACCACGAAAATTCTCATAGCTTTTATGAGATTGCTGGTCACTATTCGAAAACATGAGCTTCCCTTGGTCTACTTTCTGAGCTTCTCCCCCTACACGATCCTCGTACGCCTTGATCCTTCCTACGATGTCCTCATACGCCGTAGTGTTGAGGTCTAGGACTTGCTCAAACGTCGCTACGATATGGATGTATTGACTTGGAAGACCCGTCAGAAACTTCTTAACCATCTTGGACTCCTCTATGTTCTGACCTAGTGAGGCTGCTTTGGATGATATGCCCGATATCTTCCCCACGAAGTCATCGACCTTATCACTATCATCCATCTTCAACCTATCAAACTCTGCCATCAACGTCTGTAGTCTCGCTTCCTTTACACGATCAGCTCCAAGGTGTCGTGCTTTGATAGCTTTCCAGATGTCTTTTGCTGCGGTTTGATCTCCCACCTGGAGAATCAAAGCTTCAGGGATGGATTGAAACAAAAGAGTAATCACCACATCGTTCTTCTTTCGATCATCCAAACCAGGTTCAATCGCGTCCCATACTTCATGAACACGAAGTAAAACCTTCATCCTCATCGACCAAACAGTATAGTTTGATGATGATAACATAGGACATTGGATGGATGTAGTTCCAAGGTCCTTCGTGCGTGGAGCCCTAGTCACGTCCGCCATCTTGCTCGCGTGTACTCTTGGTCACAAGCACCAGGGTCAAAGCTTCAACTTAAGCTTAGATCGAGTCTCCAACCTGAGAAGCTCTGATACCAATTCAAATCTCTAGAAACACAAAGGATTATAAGAACAACTTTTTTTATTAGCTTTAGAAACTACTCAAAACTAAAGCTCACAATATGTTTCTCTTAGATCATATGGAACACCTCTCCATAAGACCTATATTTATAGTTAAGACAATTCCCTTGAACATGTGGGATATGGAAAACACAAACCTAATCTAATAGAAAACTTCCTTTTCCTATTTCTAGATTTCCTTATTGTGTTTATCCTTAACATATTAAACATCCAATAATATGTTAAGTTTACACAAGCTTGGAATTACCCAACATCCTGAGGTCTTTCCCGCTTGCTTCCTTGATTGTATCTTCAATTTTCATGGTAGGAGTCAAACATCTTCTCCACCAACAACCCGAGCTCGTGACAGTTTCAGTACCATTGTACAGTAGTTCCCTGACCAAGCCATAGTTTCCGATTTCCTTCGGATTTCCACAGTCACTTTCATCAAGGTCTCAAACAACATAATCCCAGTGTCTCTCCCCCTTTGTACCACGATCTGTAGCTTTTATAGCTTCAATGGTGGATCTCATCAGCCTTGTTTCTTGATAGTGACCCAACAACAGGGTTCCCTCATCAGTGCCAACTCCCTTTATCCTATCTGCTTGATTTGAACCTGTTCCACCTGGATCCCATTGGCAACTAATCACATGTCCTGATCCTCCATTTCTCTGCAGCAGTAGATACATTGGTTTTCCAGCAGTAATAACAGTGATCACTCTTTCCACCACAAGCAACCACTGGTTCCTTTTGAAAAGTACTGAAATGTTGTAAGATCCATAGTTCTGCAACAACTAATCGTGCAATAGCACATATGATTTTCATATCTCAAAGCAGAGAGAGAGACATAACAGCTGAAAAGCTTCAAACTTTCCCTTGCCTAGACTACTGATCCTCGAATCTAATTTCTTTTAAAACCCTTAAAAGTATAGCTATCTTTAATAAATCTTAGACGACAGTAAGGAAAGCTCAAGATCATTCAACCCATCAAGGATCGATTTTGCAAAAGAACCAAGTGGATTATAATCCTTCGAGCTCAATTCTAGAATTCTAAACAGAGAGGGGAAAGAGATATACTGTAGTGAGTTTGTGGTTACCCAATGAGACTGTGGTTGCCATAGCCATTGAAGTCTAAGCACTCTATTATTACCAATGGCTGTCCTGAAAATTATTACAGAATAGAACTGTTAAACCTTCCTGTGCAGAAAAACTAAGATGTTAGAAAGAAATACTCTGTGTTTACCTTCTGATATTTACATGATATAATCTTTACCTAAAAAACTGCTGCAACAGAGAATCTAGCAGATAACCCTTCTGCCATGTAAACAACCTTGAAGTATACACCTGTTACTATATTTGAAACCGAAAATCATATTTACAATCTAGACATTAGAAGATGTATCAAAGCACAATCCCAAGTAACTGAGTTTATAAATCAGACTGGTGCATATTACTGAAAAGAGAAAATAATATGGAAGATCAGAAAATTCAACACGTCCAGAGCCCCTGAATCAAAAATGACTGGCATGTCTTTCAAGATTGATCTTCCATATTATTTCCTCTTTTCAAATAAAAACTCTCTATTTGGAAGCTTGCATGATTTAAAACTGTTTATTGTTGATTAGGTTTCAAATCACCATCATCTCCAAATGCTAATATACAGAGAAGACGACAAAGACCAGAGAACTTACCTTCCATATTGCTGCTGAGAAGCAATGATTGATCCTTTGACATTAGCAGAAGTTATTCAGACCCGATTCAATAAGCAAGAGCTAGAGTTGCAGAAGCTATGGATTTTTCAACACTTGGGGGAGAGAAAGCAACATCAGCTGAAAAAGAATCAGTACTATATTAAAGGAACCAACTCTTTTCCAAGAATTTATCATTTTTTTTCTCTGTTAATGAAAACAGTATTGAGCATACGTAAGACAAAATAAAAGAAGCATGCAGAGCTTCATAAAAATCACCTGTAGGGGATGTCTCTATGTGTTTGGAGATCCCTATACTTCTTTGCAAGGCCAAAATCAATGATATACACCTACATATATTCCAACGTTAACCAAGAGAGAAATAAGATAGAATCTTAACATAGCTTCCTCTATGGGGATCATTAGTTTTAACGCGTACCTGGTTTGCTTTGCGACCAAGTCCCATCAAGAAATTGTCTGGTTTGATGTCACGGTGAAGAAACCCCCTTGAATTCATATACTCAACTCTGCTAATCTACAAATGGTGAACAAACATCTCCAGTTGAAATCTCAAAACTTCCAACACTCTACTCCTTTATCCCCTACAAAAGTTAAGGTAGAATACTCACCAGTTGATCCACAAGCATCAGAACTAACTTCAAAGTTAGTTTCATGTTACAATAATTGAACAAATCCTCCAAACTCGGCCAAGCAGATCAATCACCATAGCATTGTAGTCTCCTTGAACCCCACTTGAGGCTAGGGATCCCAGCTTCAACCACACAAAAAAAAAACAAAGTAACCCATATGGGATGAGCATGTTTTAAATCAATCATCTAATACTTGTAGATGTAAACTTACTTCACCCACCTGAGAACACTGAGAAAGTAACGCCCATGGAGGCTTAACTTGCTTCTTCGACTTCTCACCATCCGTCACCACTTCACCTAAATCCATAAAAACATTAGAAATAATAAATAATAAGAAAAAAAATCATGAGACAAACCACCAAACCTGATATTGTAGGTGTCGCCACCACCTCAGCTTCATGTTTTGTGTCCGCTTCAAGATACCATCACATACACATCAGTTAAAATAGGCTTCTCCGCATTCATAGCTTACAGAGCAGAGGATCCAAGCCCCGACTCTCCAGATTCCGATATATAATCTAATACAGAAAGTTGAGATAATCAGAGCAGAGAGAAACTGATGCTAAAAAAGTGACACAATGCCATATGAGCTACAAAATAGAAAGGAAACCAGAGATGAACTCAACAATAAAAACTTGCAGACAACTGACAGAAGGTAATAACCAGACATTGCAACATAAAATTTGAAACTTTGGCATAAAAAAGAGGAACACTACCGTTGCTAACAATGAGAATAGAGCTCAAAACTCACGCAAAGCCAGATTGTTTCAGAGACACAACATACAAAATCTGATGCACTCTGAACAAAGAAATAAACTTTGCTATCTTGCAGTGAGTTACAACATCACATGCATTGGTGTTCAGACACTTTTAGTAATGTTTCATCACACCCAGAAAAATATCAAACTCATAAAACAAAGATATCAGAATTGCCCAGAACGAAAATTTTAAAGACACCAAACAAACAAACAAAGATTAACCTAGATAATCACTTATCAATTATCTCGCCGTATGAAAGAATAAATAGATGATTTTTACAGTGATTAAAGATTAAAAGTCTCCACCTTTTTACATCATTGCTCCTATCAGAATGTGCGTGTGGAGGCTGCCAGTGCGAGATCAAGAAACGTCCCGAGGAGGCGAGGGAGAAAGAGGAGCGTTACGAGTCTCTTATGGGTTTGAATCAAGAGCTTAGTTCTTTCAAAAAAAAGAATCAAGAGCTTAGCTTTGTGAGAACTCAGATAATGATCATGGATCCTCCTCCTTCATTGAACGAAGCCTACGTTTTGGTTAACAAAGCAGATTCGAGAAGAAGCTGAAGAATGTGTTCCCTTGAACAATCGATTTTGTTAGACAATTCTGAGAAAAAAAAGAGAAATAAAGAGAATAAGAGAGATGAAAGCTAAAGGAAGTCATAAATGATGGATCATGTTTGATCTGGAACCGATTTGTAAAAAAGAGGAGGTAAAGAGATGGGAAGAAGATGAATCGTGAGAGGAGAAAGAGCAGAGGCGGACCTAAAACAACAATACTGTCTTTCTGGATAGTGGACCTTGGTTTCGTTTGTGGACTTGATGTTTAATATCATTTGAAGTCCAAAGGGAATAAGCCCAAGTGTAAGCCAAGTTGTCGCTGATGTGGCCGATTCGATCACTCTTATTGGCCAATTATTTTTGTCGACGTGGCAGTGTAAGGATGCTTTATTTGCCCCTTTTATTCATAGTAGATATCGTCTTTACACTAAAAAGAACACAATAGAAAGTTTTATGCCCAGCCAACATTTGAATGAATTATCTTAGTCCGGTTTTCTGTGTTTGGAGATCCTTATACTTCTTTGCAAGGCCAAAATCAATGATATACACCTACATATATACCAACATTAACCAAGAGAGAAATAAGATAGAATCTTAACATAGCTTCCTCTATGGGGATCATTAGTTTTAACGCGTACCTGGTTTGCTTTGCGACCAAGTCCCATCAAGAAATTGTCTGGTTTGATGTCACGGTGAAGAAACCCCCTTGAATTCATATACTCAACTCTGCTAATCTAAAAATGGTGAACAAACATCTCCAGTTGAAATCTCAAAACTTCCAACACTCTACTCCTTTATCCCCTACAAAAGTTAAGGTAGAATACTCACCAGTTGATCCGCAAGCATCAGAACTAACTTCAAAGTTAGTTTCCTGTTACAATAATTGAACAAATCCTCCAAACTCGGCCAAGCAGATCAATCACCATCGCATTGTAGTCTCCTTGAACCCCACTTGAGGCTAGGGATCCCAGCTTCAACCGCACAAAAAAAAAACAAAGTAACCCATATGAGATGAGCATGTTTTAAATCAATCATCTAATACTTGTAGATGTAAACTTACTTCACCCACCTGAGAACACTGAGAAAGTAACGCCCATGGAGGCTTAACTTGCTTCTTCGACTTCTCACCATCCGTCACCACTTCACCTAAATCCATAAAAACATTAGAAATAATAAATCATAAGAAAAAAAATCATGAGACAAACCACCAAACCTGATATTGTAGGTGTCGCCACCACCTCAGCTTCATGTTTTGTGTCCGCTTCAAGATACCATCACATACACATCAGTTAAAATAGGCTTCTCCGCATTCATAGCTTACAGAGCAGAGGATCCAAGCCCCGACTCTCCAGATTCCGATATATAATATAATACAGAAAGTTAAGATAATCAGAGCAGAGAGAAACTGATGCTAAAAAAGTGACACAATGCCATATGAGCTACAAAATAGAAAGGAAACCAGAGATGAACTCAACAATAAAAACTTGCAGACAACTGACAGAAGGTAATAACCAGACATTGAAACATAAAATTTGAAACTTTGGCATAAAAAAGAGGAACACTACCGTTGCTAACAATGAGATTAGAGCTCAAAACTCATGCAAAGCCAGATTGTTTCAGAGACACAACATACAAAATCTGATGCACTGTGAACAAAGAAATAAACTTTGCTATCTTGCAGTGAGTTACAACATCACATGCGTTGGTGTTCAGACACTTGTAGTAATGTTTCATCACACCCAGAAAAATATCAAACTCATAAAACAGAGATATCAGAATTGCCCAAAACGGAAATTTTAAAGACACCAAACAAACAAACAAAGATTAACCGAGATAATCACTTATCAATTATCTCTCCGTATGAAAGAATAAATAGATGATTTTTACAGTGATTAAAGATTAAAAGTCTCCACCTTTTTACATCATTGCTCCTATCAGAATGTGCGTGTGGAGGCTGCCAGTGCGAGATCAAGAAACGTCCCGAGGAGGTGAGGGAGAAAGAGGAGCGTTACGAGTCTCTCATGGGTTTGAATCAAGAGCTTAGTTCTTCCAAAAAAAAGAATCAAGAGCTAGCTTTGTGAGAACTCAGATAATGATCATGGATCCTCCTCCTTCATTGAACGAAGCCTACGTTTTGGTTAACAAAGCAGATTCGAGAAGAAGCTGAAGAATGTGTTCCCTTGAACAATCGATTTTGTTAGACAATTCTGAGGAAAAAAAAAGAAATAAAGAGAATCAGAGAGATGAAAGCTAAAGGAAGTCATAAATGATGGATCATGTTTGATCTGGAACCGATTTGTAAAAAAGAGGAGGTAAAGAGATGGGAAGAAGATGAATCGTGAGAGGAGAAAGAGCAGAGGCGGACCTAAAACAACAATACCGTCTTTCTGGATAGTGGACCTTGGTTTCGTTTGTGGGCCTGATGTTTAATATCATTTGAAGTCCAAAGGGAATAAGCCCAAGTGTAAGCCAAGTTGTCGCTGATGTGGCCGATTCAATCACTCTTATTGGCCAATTATTTTTGTCGACGTGGCAGTGTAAGGATGCTTTATTTGTCCCTTTTATTCATAGTAGACTTCCTCTGTAAAATTAGATTCACAATTTTTCCGAAATCTATCAAAAAATTTTCAAAATCCATCATATTTATCTTAAATTTTGTTAGATAACAAAAATAAATTATTAGTAACTAAAGTTAAACATTTGAAACTCTAAAATTAACATTTAAAATTTTATATTACTTAAAAGGTTACAAAAATCATAATGAAAACTTCTAATCAATGACAATTCAACTAAATTATAAAATAAAACAACTAAAATCATAATTTGGGATATTCATATGTCAGATATGAATGGTTATTATCAAATCAGATCTATTTAAATCTTGGTCTATTTGGTTCCACTCTTTTTTTTTTAACATCAAAAGGCTGATGTATTACTCAAGCTTAAAGTGGTCTGGATAGTCAGATCGGAATATAACAACCAACATACAAAAGATCTCGATAGAAGGATCGAGTAGTTTTAGCTAGAAAATCAGAAACATCATTCTGAGTCCTAGGAACTTAAAAGATCTTGAAGTCTGGGAAGCATATCCGCAGCGTCATTAGCTTTTCCTATTCCGTTGAGAAACTTGGCAAGTCATGAGGATTTTTTAGCACCGTTATCATCTCCTTGCAGTCCGTCCCAAAGCTCTGACATGGCGAATGTTGAAGCATGTTCTCCATTGCCCATCGCAGTGCCTCCAGCTCAGAATGCAGAGTAGACTCCACTTTATTAGAATTACGCATACCCATTAACTGATAGTTTCCCAAACTATCATTCCAAACCCAACCACATCCACTGAACTGAGCTGTAGAGGTCCAAGAACCGTCTACCATACAGATGTTTCCCAAACTTCTGGCTTGGCTTTCAACATCTATGTTTCCTTGAGCCGACAACATAACATGTTCATTGGCTTGGAACCAGGCTTGGACACTCACTCTCTGCATAACCGGCTAGCTCCAATGGGTCTCTATCAATTCCTCTGAACAACTTATCATTCTGAGCCTTCCAAATATACCATATTATCCAGGGATAAGGATCCCTGTCCAACTCCGGTTCCATTATGTCATTTTTCCTCCAGAAAAGGTAGTCCATATTTGCATATGTGCTCTGTAGAGGAAACAAGGTAGGGCTGGTATGTATAGATGATAAGGCCCAAACTTGCATCGCGGGTGGACACTGAAAGATTACATGTGTAACTGATTCTTCTGGCTCCCCACATCGTGGACAGTGATTATCGCATTTCATATGTCTATAGTTCAAAGTGCTTGTAACAGCTACATGACCTGTTATTATTTGCCACATAAGATGGCACATCTTTCGGTGGGAGCCTTGACCTTCCAAGCATGTGCTTGAAGTTTTGTGATGCTAGGTTCACAAACTACAGCTTCCTTCTCCTTCATCAATGTGTTCTGTGCAACCCGATATTCAGATTTGAGTGTATACTGTCCATTCCTTGTATAGCTCCAGCAATATGTGTCCCTCCGATGTGTTGCACTAATTGCCATACTCCTTATGAGTTGTATATCAGCAGTATCTACGTAGTTCTCTAACCGGCCCAGATCCCAAGACTTTGTTTCTTGTTTAATAAGATCACTCACTCTCATGTTGAGATGCAAAACCGGTGCAGATGGTGTTGCTGATCTTGCTGGAATGGCAGGGATCCATGGATCCTCCCATACTTTCACCTCATATCCCGAATATATTTTATGTCTAACTCCCAGCAATAGTAATTCTCGTGCCGCCGATATACTTGTCCACACATACGATGGACTACTGACATTTAGCTGACGCAAATGTGAGCTCAATTGATAATATCGGCCTCTCAAGACTCGAGCTACCAGAGAATCTGGGTATTGAACCAATCTCCATAACTGCTTTGCTAGTAAAGCCAAGTTAAACTCATGAATCATTCTGAACCCAATCTCTCCTTCCTCTTTAGATAATCATAATTTATCCCATGTTGACCAGTGTATACCTCTTTTTAGTGGGTTCGAACTCCATTAAAACTGTGCAATGGCACTAGCTAAAGCATCATAGATCTCCAACGGAAATAGAAAGAAATATATTACATAATTTGGGAGTGCTAGCACGATCGACTTAATCATCACTTCCTTTCCACGTTTTGATAACCATCTACCCGTACATCCATTTATTTTATTCCTTAACTTTTCCTTTAGGAAAGCAAAAAGATTGCATTTGGATCCACTGATATTCTCTGGGATTCCCAAATATGTTTCCATCCCTCTTTCATTCTGAATCCTAAGTGTGTTTTAATCTCTTGTCTAACATCATGTCGAATTCTCTTACCATAAATGATTTATCGAAATTAATACATTGTCCTGAAATTTGTCTATATTTTCTGATCACTCTTATTATTTCTTTACATTCATGGGGATCCACTCTTTTAGATTCCAATTCTTTTAGAAATAAAAATTTTGGACCAGTTAGATACTTAAAATTAAAAA